AATGATGCGCAGCCAGCAAGTGCAGCGGTACATGAATGCATGAGTCAATGGTACAGCAGGCAGGCTGCGGTTCTTATACAAGTACACACGTTAGATCAATGCGAGTGAGTGTAGGGAGTAGGAAGGAGAAACCATGATATGCCTAGGGATAGAGTTCTGTCATGATGCTACTCATTACACTACATCTCCTTTAACGGAAAGAGTTGCAGGCCCAGACAATGCTATGCCCAGGGTTAGAGTTCTGTCATGATGTTACTTATTACACAACATCTCCCTAACGGAAAGAGTTGCAGGTCCATGTTCACATTGTCGAGATGAGCCGCTCCGGTGCAATGGCTGTGCGACCTGAACAGGTAGTGGAGGTGGCACTTGTGTTGGGCTCTGAGGCAGCAGGTATGCCGTTTGGCTCGCCGCAGGAGTTTCTCCGCCGCTTGGTGGCTTCAGGCCCCCCACATTGTGACGTATGGTGGAGGTGGCTGTCTTAACATCGTAAGACTGCTGGCTGAGCTGTGGAAGTGAGCTGTTGCAGTGAGCTGTTGCAGCAAACTGTTGCAGTGAGCTGGTGGAGGTGGCTGTCTTAACATCGTAAGACTGCTGGCTGAGCTGTGGAAGTGAGCTGTTGCAGTGAGCTGTTGCAGCAAACTGTTGCAGTGAGCTGTTGCAGGAAGCTGTTGCAGTGAGCTGTTGCAGGGAGCCGTGGCAGTGAGCTGTTGCAGTGAGCTGTTGCAGTAAGCTGTTGCAGTAAGCTGTTGCAGTGAGCTGTTGCAGTGAGCTGTTGCAGTGAGCTGTTGCAGTGAGCTATTGCAGTGAGCTGTTGGAGTAAGCTGTTGCAGTGAGCTGTTGCAGGGAGGTTTTGCAGGGAGCCATTGCAGTGAGCTGTTGCAGTGAGCTGTTGCAGTAAGCTGTTGCAGTGAGCTGTTGCAGTAGCTGTTGCAGTGAGCTGTTGCAGTAAGCTGTTGCGGTAAGCTGTTGCAGCGAGCTGTTGCAGTAAGCGGTTGCAGTGAGCCGTTGCAGTGAGCCGTTGCGGTGAGCTGTTGCAGTGAGTTGTTGCAGTAAGCTGTTGCAGTAAGCTGTTGCAGTAAGCGGTTGCAGTGAGCCGTCGCGGGGCTGTTGCAGGTAGCTGTTGCAGTAAGCGGTTGCAGTGAGCCGTTGCGATGAGCTGTTGCAGTGTTGTAGCAGCTGTTGGCTTGCAGTGGTGTGTCGTGAAGCGATCGCGGATGCGGTCATCGCGAGCGTCCTTCAAGTCGCCGTTGTCCGCGCCGCCGTAGAGACGACGCAGAAGTGACTCGTGCGCGGTCTCGGATGGCGACTGTGTGGCGCTTTGGAACATCGTTCGTCTGTGGACGACGTTGGACCTGGTGTTAAGTAAGCCGAGAGTTTCGTCTCCACTTCCTGAGATTTATCTCGATCGCCGGCGTTGTCGAACGTCAGCTGCTTGAACACAGTGGTCACCTGAGGACCCATTGTGTTCAGGACAGGTGCGACCAGTTCTGAACTGCGGAATCGCTCCAGTCCGTCGTCTCATTGAGTCGGATCAGAAAAATCCAATGTTCCCGGTGGCTGGAATCGAGCCATCCTGAAGTTGCAGACAAGGTTCGTTGCGGATCAATGTTATTTTTTTATCACGGATCCTGTTCACTGTGCCATGTAGCGGTAGCTACTTAGAGTAGTTTTTATTGCAAAAGGGGGAACATTATCGGTCACGGAAAAGCACAACTAACTACAAGGAGAGCAGAAACGAAGAGTGATTCCAATGGTGAATCACTGTGTAAAGAAGACAGAGAGCGGAATGGACGGCGGTGCGGCGTGCACACAACAGCGACCGGAAGCAGCGTGCCTAGTACGGGATGCCATGTATAGATGGAGCCCGAGGGCAGTGCACCCAGACATGAATATGCACGTGCACCCGAGTACTGCATTCAGTGCATGCGGGGACTGTGCCATAGAAGGGGACGGGTTAGTGATGCGCAGCCAGCAAGTGCAGCGGTACATGAATGCATGAGTCAACGGTACAGCAGGCAGGCTGCGGTTCTTATACAAGTACACACGTTAGATCAATGAGAGTGAGTGTAGGGAGTAGGAAGGAGAAACCAGGAGACAGACAATGATATGCCTAGGGATAGAGATCTGTCATGATGCTACTCATTACACTACATCTCCCTTAACGGAAAGAGTTGCAGGCCCAGGCAATGCTATGCCCATGGATAGACTTCTGTCATGATGTTACTTATTACACCACAATAATCATATGTAGGATCGTCCTCGCACCAGATGCAGCCCCTAAAAGGGCACCCATGAAATGGGCGGAGTGTGGATGGCTCATATGATAGTATGTATGATAGTTCATGCACAAAGTGGAGCCCATGAAATGGACGGAGTGTGTGCGGCACACGCATGAATTGCGATGTCCGTTTGCGGGCAGGAGTTGGAGCGTATGAGTGTGATGGCCGAAGGCCATGGTAGATTGCCAGATGGGAGGGGATAGTTGGCCCATGGTTGCCCAGCCTCCATGCTAAGTTGTGACATACTGCAATGCACGTGAATGACGCTGTTGTTGCTATCAGCACAGTTTGTTAGCACAATCCTAGCAAAGCAAATTAGTGTGCTGTTCAAAACAATCGGCAGCGGACCTAAGCAGGCGTGTGGGTACATGCACCCGCTCTCCTGGTCCAGAACCATCTTGTGCCAGTGCTGCCAGATCAGCCACCTCCCGCATCAGTCCAGGAGCGGGATGCGGATTGCAGTGTCTGGGGCTGGCCGTGACGATGATGCTAGCTGATGGAATGCCGGCAGTTTGAAATGAGACAGAACATCGGTGATCGGCTAACCTCTTGGTGATATCCCATAAGTGCTGTGTAAAATGTTCCGCGGGACGACGACGCTTGACGCAAAGAAGGTTTTCCCCAGGAAGTGGTCGGGTTTGGGTTGTGTGGGTTAGAGCGTAAACCGAACTGCAGCACTCGATCAAAGGAATATTGCCCTAACAACTGAATACCAAGTAGAGACTAGTCGGACGGGTGCACAGGGATGAGCGGAATGCATTGCATGTGTCCAGCTGTGTCAGCAATGCGCCCTGCCCTTACGCCATGATTGTTCACACTGCGTTGTCAATCCTGGAGCTGATTAATGGTGGATAATGCGAAGTTTACCATTCTTCTTCGGCACCACGCCAATACCCGAGTACTGGTATAATGGAAATAGAGGGGTGAAATAAGAGCCAAGGCCTCTCCTCGTGCACAACAATGTTGTTAGATGCTCAAATATGTACCCGCAATGTTCAGTAGATAAGGGGAGATTTGGTTTTGTCGCAGTCTGACGGCGACTAGTGAATCCTATGCGGAGTCCAGATTGTAAGCTCTTGCTCAGGCAGGAAGGGTATTCCTTGTCTGGATGATCAGTTAGGAGTCTAGTAAAGTGGAGAACATCAATGGGTGTGTGAATACTAGATACTCAGATATGTGCAAGGAATGTTCAGTAGATGAAGGAAGATTTGGGTCCATCACAGTCTTACGGTGAGCAATGCACCCTACTAGTATTTAGAATCCAGATTGTAAGTCCCTGCACACGCAGGAAGAGAATGGCTTGTTTGGATGATCAGTAAGCAGTCTAGTAAAGCTGACAGCATCAATGGGCGTGTGAATACAAGGCATATATAAATCAAGAGCAGGGTTGGCTGGGATGGTTAGTGAGATAAACTGTGTGTTACTACTGTCTGGACGTGCCTGCTTCAAACAAGGGCTGGTGGCGTGTCCTCCCGCCATGCTTGGGTCTAGATCTGGCAAGGTAACTTTGCTGCCTGACCGTTTGGCGGGTGGAGCTGATGTACTAGGCCAGTCACTGGCGGAGGTAGCAGCGCATGCCGAGTTTGGATGGCGGCCGTGACATTTCAGGCAGAGGTGCGCTCTCCAACACTCCCGTTGGCATCGGGTCCAGTTGTAGTACCGGAAAATTGGGGGCAGCTAACTCTATACACCACAGGTTCTACCTACATATCGGCTATGAAAATGCCAACCTTCAAATTGATAGATGACATCGCCGCTGAGTTGAGTAGCAAAAGGTCCTTCTTAAAAGTAAACGTAGGTGCTGAAGTGAAGACTGGTGTAAATGAGATAGTAAAGTATGTTTGGTTTACAAGGGTTTTTACATCACGGGCTACACCTAAAGAGATTTGACCTTTCCATGGGTGTCACAATAACGCCTCGCTATGAATGACAGCGCTTTCGAAACACAATCACAAACACTTATATATATTCAATGGACAAATGGCCTGCATGATATGGGAATGTACTGTCGTGGACATGGAAATCCGGTCGAATGACCGGGGCCGGCGCCCTCAGCGCCAACTATACGTTGCATGCGGTGCACATGCGACAACACGCTGTGGCGCATAAAATGAATGTGTTTACCGCTTACTGACGGCTGGATGGCCAGCGCCCTGGAGCCGCTAGCCGTGCGACCGGATTTCCATGTCCATGACAGTACCATGCAGTCAGTCATTTCCCAAAGTGTGCACACTCTTGGAGTGTGCACTCGGGACCAATACAGTGACAGAGATTTCTTGACTCACATTGTTCTTTACGGAGACCGTGTCGGGTTGGAGTTCTACTAGATACTTGACAACTTCCAGTTTTCCCCAGGAAGCAGCGAGATGAACAGGAAGCTCACCGTTCTGTGTGCAGGTAAAGACAAGACCAGACATTCATATGTGTTATCTATCTGTAGTCTGTATCTTACACAATTATGATGTATAACCTACTGTGACTAAAGTTTTACATGTTATATGTAGGTGCCCGGCACTAAGAATTATCAGCATGATTCTGACGGGTCATAATGTGCAAAAGTTAGCACAATAGTGACAGCTGTGATACTTGTCATGTCATGCTATGTATTATGCGTTACTCTTCAGCACGTGTAACCCTTACATAACGTGTAACTCTTACGTAATGTGTAACCCTTACGTAATGTGTAACCCTTACGTAATGTGTACACAGGTTTTGTGTATCGCAAAGTGTAGTACCTCTTTCGATTGGAGTCTGCTGATGCTACCTTTACAAAATTGATGATTCTCTTTCATATTGCTTGTCAATCAATAATACAATAGTATTATAATTCCTAAAGAACCCGAATACTACATGGTGTCAGAAGTTCTAGAAATTGCGGACTTACTACAATGTCAGGATTTGGGAGGTGCTTTATTGAGGTATCAGTGCGAGGCAGGAGAGTCACCAAAAGTCACAGGTACTTTTGCAGCAAATGATCGGCGGGATTGCTGTTGTTTCAGCCTGGTATTCCCCCACCAATAGACATACAGCTAGCACAGTGATCCTCAAGAGTGCTGTAAGAGTAACTGACTACAGTAAGGAAAGTCAATGGTAGAGATTGCTCAACTTACGTTGTTCTTTACAGAGATCGTGTCTGGTTGGAGATCTAGTAGATACTTGGTGACTTCCAGATGTCCAATGAAAGCAGCACGATGAACAGGAAGGTCACCGTCCTGTGTACAGGTAACACACAGGACCAGGTAATCCTATGCTTTATCCATCAGTAATGTACTAACTTTCAATATGATGTACAACTCACTGCCAAGAAAGGCAGCCGGATGTAGAATACTCTGAATATTAAAGTTAAGTCAGTTGACAAGTTGTTTGCCAGCAAGTACTAGAAAACTACAATGCATGTCTCAACACCGGGCAGGGGACTGGCCAATAGAAAAGACTTTCCCCTGGAACTAATGGCCCCTGCTTTGTCCCCAAGTTTCCCCAGGATGCAGGGTTGATCCTTAGTCAGTTGGTAAAAGGTTACAAGCCGGCATCTCTTGGTAGCATTTGTACATGCCTCTGCTTTTACCACAGTTGTGATGATATAGTTGTTTGCTAGTGAGTATATGCAGGGGGGGGGGGAGCCTAGTCAGTAACAGTTACTGACTTTACAGTTAACAGTTACAGTCAGTAGCAGTTACTGACAAAGTTACTAACTTTGTATGCCAGTGTATGAAGGGGTCCAGAATATGGAGAAATTCAGGCGGTAAGAGCTTCGACACCCACACTTAGAATTGTTTGTTAAGGCAGCCAAAGTTTCTTGCCGATATTGCTTTGCTAGCCAGTAGGTGTTTATTCTTTCCAGAACAGTGAGCAGTTTTGGTTCTGAGTGAGCTTGTAACTGGGTCCACGCGGTTTTCTGATGATAGTGTATATGCATACCTCTGAATGAACATTTTTGTGGTCATAAGTAGAATTAGCGAGGCGGACATTGCACATATCAAAAACGAAATAGAACATTAATTTTGGAGTTCTAGATTGCCTCAACCAATTTTCATGAGGACGTTCGTCTCCGACAATGGCCCACCATTCAGAACGTACAGTTTGCAACCATTGTGGAGCAGTACGGCATATATCACCACACCAGCAGTCCGCTGCATCCGCAGGGCAAAGACCTTGCCGAGCGTACGATCAGAGTCGGTCAAGTCGCTACTAGTGAAAGGGTCTGACACTTATGATACGCTGCTAAGCTATCGTTCAACACCTCTCGGATGCGGGTTCAGCCCAGCACAGCTTCTCATGGGCCGCCGTCTACGGTCCCAGAGAACACTCAGCTCCTCTCAGCATGAAAAATTGCAATTGCGGAACATGCTTTTCGTCCTTTTTGCTTCAACATGACACTGCAACACGGTCAAAACTCCACGCGATGGTGTAGATTGCCGCATGTCTATGCCCATAGCAGGTTACCGCGTCCCTAGCTCCGCCACACCACAGACATGGACAGACAGTAGAGCTGTGAGTATGTCTATGATTGTAAGGACTACACCAGGGAGTCGCGACTCGCGAGTGAAAGCCACCATTACCTCATCTGCACTAACGCTATGACTCGTCCATCATACAATCTACTACAGTAGAACCGGAAAGTTTGACGAACAAAAAGTTAAACATTTTTGCAATTTTGGCGTGATAACATACAGAAAGTTTAACAATGGCCACCTGGCCACCCAGAGCATGCATCAATAGATGCTCATCTTTACACACCGGGTTCGCCATAATGTTCCTTCAAATAAGGAAAAAAATGGTTGTTAAAACGTTAGACTTTGTGATTCGTTAGATTTTCCTGTTTTACAGTAAATGCACATGCAGTGAGTACTTGTACATACATATACTAGCGCTGCACGCTCACCAGTGTACTCACAAAACTGCAATGAAAACATCATTGCAAAGAGGTGCGTTCGGTACATTGGGGGGGGGGGGACCATGCAACAGGAACCCCCACCCTCAATGCGTACTCGTCTGCACTCATTTGCGAAAGTAGCACATTCTTGGGTTATGCACTCCTGATCATAACAGTGCCAGAGATTGCACTTAACTCACCCTGTCCTTCACAGAGACCATGTCGGGTTGGATGTCTAGTAGATACTTGACGACTTTCAGATGTCCATATGAAGCAGCTTTATGAACAGGAAAGTTACCGTACTGTGTGCAGGTAAAGACAAGACCAGCCATTCATATGTGTTATCTACAAGTATCTGCAGTCAGTATCTTACTTCCTACTGAAGTACATAGGATGTACAATCTACTGTCAGGAACGAGATTTTCATGCGGACTACTCTGATTGATCAATTGCCACTATTCCTGCTAGTTAGTGCTGGAAAAATCAAAGAAACACATTGGAGTCTCAGGATGAATGATATTGGATTCAAAACAAACACACACACGCACACACACACACACACACATCATGCAATGGAAAATGAACTGCATGGTGAACGGAATGTTCCATTCTACTACCAAAATATAACCATTACCTTATAGCATTCCGAATGATCTGTTGCACTACTAAGTGCATGGATAGTTTACCCACACAACCCCTTTCAACTGCAATGTACATGCCATCTATCACATTACATGGTCTCTTTGATATCAGACCAGGTACTGAAGTACACTCGAAACTGACTGGACTAGGAAACATGTAATGGTGTGAAATTGATACTCCAGTGTGCCCTACCCATTATACAATAGGGTGGATTACGGTAAAATGTTAGACTAGACGGTCACCAGTCAATTATCCACTGTTTACCTACATCCATTATTTCAAAATGATTCCCATGTACTTAGCATGAAACGGTCGCTTCCTATGATAAGTTTTACCCATGGTACTGACAACACAGTGTTTTCTACAAGTAATTTCAACATTGGCTTTTAAGTGGGAGCAAGCATATCATCGACATTGTGCAATAACCCATGGTAATCGATCTCAGTAACAATATGCTTTTGAGGCTCCGATCTCAGACAGAAGGCAACATGGTTTATGTCCATGGACTCTTTTGCAGTACAGGCAAAGTCAGGCGTCTTTGATTAGTACACGAGCCAATAGTGAGTCATTCCTCAATGTACAGACAGAGTGGCGAGCAACTTACCGAATCAGTCTTGTCCACTTTGGCTTTACACTTGACAAGGTGCTCGGCTATATCGACGTAACCCTGCGCACATGCCATCTGTAGTGGAGTGCACTTCCATACACTCTAGTAAGAACAACATAGGTAGTGTAGGCATGTGTACACCCACACACACCACACATGTACAGACCCCCAGCCCAACAACACGAACAAGTACACACATGCGCACAAACACATGCACACACACACACAAAAGCACACACACACATACACACGCACACACACACACACACACACACACACACACACACACACACACACACACACACACACATAAATACACACACACACACACATAAATACACACGCATGCACACAAATACACACACATACAACAAACAAACTCACACACACATACACAACACATGCACATACATCACACATGTACACAAGTATGCAGGAACGAATGTACACATGCAAACACACACACACACAAACACACCCCCACATGCACAAACACACATATGCACATTCACACACGCACATACACACCCACACACATACACACACACGCACACACGCACGCACACATTCACACACACACACACACACACACACACACACACACACACACACACACACACACACACACACACACACACACACACATACACGGACATACACACGCACGCGCACGCACACACACACGCACGCACACACACACACACACACACAGACATGCACAAGAATAGCTGCATTGTCGGTCGCAAAGGTATACAAAAGCACTCTGGTTGAAGAACATTGTTCAGAATGCATGGGCCTGTAGAAACGTGCCCTGCAAGTTGTGGATCTGATCTCTGCTAATTGGTATGTATACTGAAGATGTTCCACTGTATTATACCTATTGACTGAAGCCATACTAAACAATGGTCATTATCATGTACACTGTATCCCAAGCAAATTTTAATCTTGTAGAAAATGTCTGCAATGTACTGCTCGTTGTTGTCTGAACAATAGAAGTAGGGACTCTACTGACTCAATCAGTACCCTTGCAGGAAGCATACAAAGAGGTACTCAATAGGGGATAAGGCAGGGTAAGGGTAATGGATTGACATACATCATTACTTCACATACGGCAGGTCCATTAGTGACTTCGTTTTTTTAGGTAAACCCTATTTGAGTAAAAGGTCCATAATGATAAACCCTTTGGTATTTCAAGGTGGAGTACTCCTGACGCAGCTAGACATTGACCTACAAGTCCTGTTTGAGCAGAGTGACACCACCAGTATCACACACTTGCATCCACCCATTCTACTCAAACTGGCAATTGAGGAATGTCACACTGTTCTGACTACAGCAGTCAGTATCCTATAAAAGCATTTTGGATCAGGCAATGTCAAAAGTACTGCCAGGCGCAGAAGAACGAATCACCGAAGAACGACCAGGCTAGAATTTTACCAAACACAGCATACCAATGTATACACGGTAACTCAACTGTGCATAGACTGTAGTAAATGATAATAAGAACGGTCTAGGCTAGGAGGCTGCCACCCCCTCCCCCCCCCCCCCTCTCCTCACACCCAGTTCTTCGACGACCGACAGTACTGAAGCTAAATTTTTACACATATCTGACATAAAATCAGGCGACAGAACGAAAATATTTCAAAAACTTATTAAAATGATGTACCTCCTTACCCCGTAACACCCCCCCCCCCCCTCCCCTGTAGTGTTCACATATACATGTATGGACTGTCACACGCATGTATGCACGCGGCACCGTTTGTACTCCTATCCATTTACATATGCCGCTTCCCACACCTGTACCATGTGTACTGACAGTCGGTACGCACCGACTATGTACTCATGCATGCACACCATTACATTCTGTTGGCATCATATTATTGGAGAGCTTTCCGAAGCTAGTTGATGTTTGGAATAGAGCAAGAGAACAACATTACATTGGCGCTGCGAGCAAACGCCTGATCCTCGCCATGCCAATACTGCCACTACTGCCTCCGGAGCGATTGCAGGTCTACAGAAGCGTCTACGACGCTGTCGTCTGTTTTCCTACATGGAAGCGGAGGTTCTGAGTCTTGTTTGCCGCAGTCGGCATTTCGGACGCCACTCGCCAGAGAAACACCTTCCAGTATGTGGCCGGCAAGGACATTCAGCAGCTCGTCCCTACTTTAGCCAACACTTGCAACGAACTCGACAGCCTCATATCTGCCGTTGTCGACTATTTCCAGTCCAAGCAGAGCCCCAGCATGGCCCACTTCCATTATCGTCAGGTCACCCACCAGCCTGGCGAAACATTCGATCCGTTTTATGCTCGTTTGCTGGCATCGGCACAGACCTGCAGCTTTGCTGACAATGCCCAGCAGAAAGTCGCCCTCTGCGATCACATTGTGGCCGGATGCACGTCTGATCCGCTACGCAGGAAACTGCTGGAGACTGCGTCTCTCGACCTTGACAAAGCACTCAAAGCAGCCAGAGCCTTCAAATCGTCAGTGGAGCAGGCGACGGGGTTTCGGCGCACGCACGATTCCGTCAATGCCCTTCGTCATCAGCCAGTGTTCCACGACAGGAAAGCCGCCTGCTGCTACTGCTTCAGCTCCGTCGCGTCGACCAATGCAGTCTTCGCTACCTGCAGCTGTGAATCAGTGGTAGAACCAACCACCTGCCCCAGCCGCCACTCGTGCCCCTGGCCAGCAGGATTTCAACACATCGCACTGCTACCGTTGTGCATAGCAACGCCACTGGTGCTGTGATTCTGCTTGAGGGAAGCGCTGTCCCAAGTGTGGTAAGTGAGGCGGGCCACTTGGCCAAAGCTTGCTTGTCCAAGCAGTCGCAGAGTAGCCCAGCTTCAGTACACATGATGTCGGACCCACTGTACTCTCAGTCTCACAGAATGGACACCAGCTACACTTCAGTTTATGCTCCATACACTGCACCTACTACTCATACTAGCACAGCAGTCAATGAACAGAACCCAGTTTGCCTACAGCTGCCTGTCGTGTCCAGCAATTCTGCCAATCACAGTGTGACGCTGCCACCTTGAGCCGTCGGTCAAACGCCCCCAGCCTTACCCCTGGTCAGCACAATCTACGATACAACAAGCAGGTGCACAACAAGCTAGCACCACAGTGGGAACCCAACCCCTGGACGGACGAGCAGACCAAAAGTTCTCTTGCGACGATACTCAATGCCACAACTGGCCAAATGTCAACTCGTCACATGTCATTCGTGAAGCCCCCAATTGTCGTCACTCCGCCAGCCAATCACCAACTACCAGCTGAAACTGCTGCCACCGCACCACCTTCCTTTCCACCCAACGTCAACACTGGCACCCATCCAGTTCCTTGCCAGCAACCATCCCGCGCTGCCAAGTCTGCCCACAGCACTGTGACCCCTCCAACACCCTGATCTTCTATGACACTCACGTATACCCAGGTCAATTTCTGTTGAGAAAGGAGAGGAACTGCTCTAGTTTGCTCTATCTGTCTGATTCTCTTTATGCATTCTAGTTCATGCTTTCTCCCTACTGTTCGTTCGCTCTTTCTGCCATATCCGAATCTTCTTTTTACTAGTCTTTATCGATAGAACATTCCCTCTGCGTTGGGAGGGATGTAGTGTTCACATATACAGTCAGATCTCGCTTAACCGCACACATCCGTTTTCCACAAAAATATCCGGATAGGCAAGGGAACCGGATAATCGAAAACATGAACTGTATGTATGCATGGCGTGTGCGGTAAATTGGTAACGAGCGAATTTCTTCAGGATGGCGAGGGATCCGGATAAAAGAGGAACGGATAAGCGAGATCAGACTGTACATGTATGGACTGTCACACACATGTATGCAGACGGCACCGTTTGTGCTCCTATCCAATTACATATGGCGCTTCCAACGCGTGTAATGACAGCCGGTACGCACCGACTCTGTACGCGTGCACCATTTAATTCTGTTGCATATGACAGAGCTTTCCGGAGCTTTGATTTAGTTGTTGTTTGGACTAAAGCAATACAACAACATTACACCCCCCCCCTTACCTAACATTACAGCCCCCCCCCCCTGCCCCCCTTAACTTAAATTAACATAACACCCTCCCTTTTACGTAACATTATACCCCCCCCCCCCTCTCACCTAACATTACCCCCCCCCCCTCCTTACCTCCAAGAAAGACACAATCACATGCACAAATTGCACACATGCAAACACCTCGACATTCACATTTAAAGCCAGTCAGTGTAAGTTACCGAGCAGTGTGCTTAGTACCTGGGACGGTGTCAGGAATGCAAGTACACATACACACAGACCTACCACAGAGCGATACAACTGGTTGATGACTGTTTCTCCGCAACAGTCTGCAAGGATGCAGGCACACTCCAGATGGCCTTCATCGCAGGCCTTGAATAGCAACCGACCCTGGTATGCAGGAATGGTAAGAAAACCAAATCAAGCAACATACACATGCACGCAGTCACGCATGCACGCATGCACGCACACACACGCAATCACGCATGCACACACACACACACACACACACACACACACATACACATACACACATACACACACACATGAACATAGACACACATGACCAGACATATACACACGTAAACACACACACACTCCCACACACACGCACAGGCACACACACACACACACACACACACACATACATATACAAAAACACACAAGCATGATTGTATATTCAAACATTGATGTACATCCACTCCACACCCTTGTTCTTTCTCACAGACAACAACTGGTCACTTGGGTTTCCCTAGAAGGGGAGGGGGACAATCCAGTATTAAATAGTTATTGATATGACCACCAATGACACTGACTTGAATGTCTGGACCCTGGGTGGTTTTGGAGATGGTCCCACATAGTATAGACTGCTAGATCAGAGTGGGTCAGATAAAGGATTCACTGGTACTGTTAGGTTCACGATTTCACATATGCACGCACTCGCACACTCGTACGCACTCGCACCCTCGAACTCACCTTTACAGGCGCGCACTCACTTTCACTCTCGTACTCACCTTTTCGGGCGCGCACTCACTTTCACTCTCGTACTCACCTTTACAGGCGCGCACTCACTTTCACTCTCGTACTCACCTTTACAGGCGCGCACTCACTTTCACTCTCGTACTCACCTTTTCGGGCGCGCACTCACTTTCACTCTCGTACTCACCTTTTCAGGCGCGGACTTACCTTTGCTCTCGTACTCACCTTTACAGGCGCGAACTCACCTTTTAGGGCGCGCACTCACATTCACTCGACGTACTCACCTTCACAGCCTCGTACTCACCCTGGTTGCTTTTCCTAATCTTTTCTTTCTTTGGCCTGGGTAGCTGGACTCGCGCTTTAGCACATTTATCTCCATAGCTACCCAGGCCCTAGATAAGCTCTTGCTGGAGCATTTGCTCTGCCCCTTCTAGCCCTGTCTAGCCTTGTCTTGTTCACCTCTTCTTGTCTTGCTTGCCTGACATTATTCTATACGAACCTCTGAGATCCCTTGTCGTTGTCAACTAATACTTGGCCCGATCGTCTAAGCGTGACTGTACCAGTCCTAACATTGGCGCCCGATCTTTCGCTCGACCTCACGACCCTGAGAACCGTAAGTACCCCTGCTCTACCGACTGTATTGCATTTTACTTGTGTCTCGTTTCGTTTCGACTCGACTTCGTTCTCGTAGCACCTTGTTCGTCGTGTTAGCTTTCAATATTTGTATCGTTCCAAACTTTCGGTAGGCGCCCTTCTTGCATTTTACTTGTGTCTCGTTTCGGTTCAACTCGACTTAGTTCTTGTAGTACCTTGCTCGAAATTCTAGCTTACAAATCTTTGTGTCGTACCGAACTTTTGTTAGGTGCCATCTTTCTTTTTTCTATCATTCCAAACTTCTGTACCGTTCCAAAATTTATAAACGAAAATGACTGTTGATCCGTGTCGCATACCTGCTGGTAGTTTCCCTGTGTTTTCTGGCGCGCCTGGCGAAGATATCGAGGTCTTTTTTCTAGAGTTTGATTCGGCTTGCGAGGCGTATGGTTTTCCACCTGTCGAGCGCTCCGAAAATTTGTTAGATACCGATTTTGATCAAAGTTGTAGTTCACCTGTCGCCTCGTCCTCGAGACTTATGATTAATGATCGCGATGCACTGCGGTACCGATTCTTGCGCAAATCTTTGAGGAAAGAAGCATCGAGATTTCTGTTGGCCTGCGATAAATCGGTAGTCGAAGATTATGTACAATTGAGAACTGTGTTGGTTGATCATTTTTTGCCAAAAGAGAATTCGTCTTTGTTTCGAGTCAAATTGCGCCATCGTAGACGATCCCCAAACGAATGTTTGGTAAAACTCGCCACCGATATAAGACTAATGACTGCGCGTGCATATCCTTCTGCGACGTCGGAAGTAATCGACGACATCGCAAAAGAAGCGTTTATCGATGCTTTAGATCCGCCAATTAAAGATAAAGTAATCGATTTCGATCCACAGACACTTGACGCCGCGCAGCGTAGAGCTTTGGTAGTGGAAACAAACTTACAGAAGTCGAGTACGGTCCTCGCAGCTGCGGCCGCCGAATTTGCATCTGTTTCTCAAGTACGCGCACCATCGAAAAATTTTGACGAAGACGAACTTGTTGAGCGTGTAGCTGAGCGTGTTAGCAAAATTTTGTTGGAACACCAGAAACCGGCGAGTAGTCGACCACGCTCACCTTCGCCTGAGCGCCGAGATTTCAAACGTCCGCACAGCTCGGAATCGCGTAGCCAAATGGGGGATCGTAGGTCGGATCGTAGAATCAGTTTCCGCGAACCGCCTGTTTGTTTCTTTTGTCAGCGTCGAGGACACATTGAACGTGACTGTTTCACCAAAAAGCGTTCCCAAAACTCGCAACATTTTGGCGACCGCTCGGACTCACATAATTCTTTAAACCGCTTTTAGTGGCTGACGAGAGGCTGCCAACCACTTCGACTCCGATATCGAAAATCACCACCGATACGAACACTTTCGCCTCGACATATAAACCTTTTACTTTGTTACTGCCGTACTCTATCCTGTTATTTACGATGTTCCTCCATGCCGTTCATTCTGTTAAGTCGACTGTCACTCTGTTATTACCGTACTCGATCCTGTTCTTTACGATGCTTGTTCACGCCCTTAAATTTGTTACGTCGATTATTGTGAGATTTCCGTTCTTGTGCATTGCCTTAGTGTTACGCTTACTGGGGTTCGTGGTTTCTATTGTGAGGGGGGTTGTTTCCCCTGTGTTCACCCGAACTGCCCACTGCGTTCGTCGATATTGGACGAAAGGCTGCCATTTGCAAATAAAAATTTCCAGACGACAAAAAGGCAAAGGCGCAGTGGTAGCAGCTCTGGTGGACACGGGGGCAGCATTCACGGTAATTCGAAAAGATGTATTTGAAACATTTGCACCGATGACTACACTCGCGCCTCAGTCCACAGTTGGTATCGATGCACTCCAGAGCGCGACGGGGTCTTCGATTAAAGTACATGGGGTTGCGCAGGTTTGTATCGCATTCGACCATTCGACAGTAGTAAAGACTAAAGCTTTGGTAGTGGAGGGGGTAAAGGAGGAGGTGATTATTGGTGTAAACACGTTGACTGGCCATGGCATGAGCATTTCATTCGAGTCCGACCACACACTTACCGCGTATCGAAAATCGTTTCCGTTGCGTTCGAAGAGTTCCGTAATTCCAAAACACACCATCTCATCCTCATCACCTCTATTCCCAAAGCTTGACGATAATGTTCCGATAGAAGATAAGAGTTTGCTTAATAAGTTTAATTGGTCTGGTTGTGTGGGGGATAGCGCTGCGATTAAGCATTTACAACGACTTTTGTTAAGCATGCGATCGGTAATTGCGGTAGATGATAATGACGTTGGAAAGACAGACGAAATACATCACACTATTACACTTACCGACAATCGTCCGATCCGCCACAACGCCCGTCGATTATCACCGGATAAAGCGAAGCTGACTCGTAAATTAGTAGATGACATGTTGGAGCAAGATATAATCGAACCGAGTTCTTCACCGTGGGCAAGCCCAATTGTTTTAGCGAAGAAGGACGGAGGTGGGACACGATTTTGCGTTGATTATCGAAACTTGAATAACGTCACGCGAAAAGACGCTTTTCCTTTACCGCGCATCGATGACACGCTCGACGCATTGCACGGCGCAAAATACTTTTCGACTTTGGATTTGCAATCGGGTTATTGGCAAGTTTTGGTAGCGCCCGAAGATCGCGAAAAAACCGCTTTCGTCACGCCCCACGGTCTCTATCAGTTTCGCAGAATGCCTTTCGGACTACACCTTTGAAGCTCAACTCGCTGTATCTGTCATTCTTATGGCGGCAGATCATGCTGTGTTTGGCGGTAGGATTTGTTCTTACGATATGTTTTCGTGCTGGCGTTAAATGTCTCACTTACACCTCTGCCACTGATTCTACTATGCGGGATTATGCTGTTTTGGCGGTAGGACTTTGGCATAAAACTGCTTCTTTTGGGCCGGCATGGCATCATTGTTTCATTTCGTACCTGACGATGGCAATTTTGCCGAAACGTTGTACATAAAAGGAATCAGTTAGGTTTTGCAGTGCTGTGGGAATGGGTGTGTCCACCCTACTTCTCTCTAAGAATTAGTCAAGTTTCTGCAATGATGGAGTGTAGGGCTATGGCAAGTTTCTGTTATGCCGGAGTGTAGGAAAGTAGCCAAGGACTGGCGAAAGTCACCTTTTCTAGTTTGAGAACACCCGTCGCAGCTTCTCCTGAAAATCACTTCACACCACTTGACAAGGCTCGTCTCCAAGTTCGAAACTCTGTTGTGAAAAGTCATCTCAAGAAACACGTGTATTGCGCCGCTGTGTCAGGTGTATCTGGGAGATCGCGAACGATTGTCGACCGGACAGCGGTTTGCGAAGACAACATCGCATAAGAAAAACATACCGGTAGTCAGGAAGATACTTCGGCAAAAAGCAGGAACTCCAATGGTAGGAGTAGACACCTTGGTAGGTATCTTGTCAGTTAAACAGTGAGTTTGTCCATTGAAATTGCTGGAGGAATCAGGGAATAGAGATGATACTCGGTGAAGTCAAGCCACAGCATAGTCCAGTGGACAGTGGATAAACTCAAGCTGTGGTCACATCTGGCACAATTCCTTGTGAAACCACACGCTCATGCATTTTTGCTGCCTTTTGGGGCATCATGCGTGTTGAGCGAATTGAAAACTCTGACATGTTCTATGTTTCAGCACGTACATATGTACTTGCCTGTGATTTTGACTGGCTGGGTACAAAATTACTTATCGAGCGCGTCGAACACATGTGTGTGTGTGTGTGTGTGTGCGCGTATGTGTGTGTGTGTGTGTGTGTGTGTGTGAATGTGTGTGTGTGTGTGTGTCGATTCACATGGCTTTGCCAGTTGTGTGGATTAGACAGCTATCTGGCGCAAGTCTTGATCTGTCTCATTCAGATCTTGTTCGCTACCGTTGCTATATAAGAGAAAATCTGGGGGTGCACATCCAGTGCATTTGCAGATTTGCGTGCTTCTCTTGCGACGGGCGTGTACATACACGGTACCGTAAACCGTGAAACTTTCGCGAGCGGATAATTTTCGCTAGTTTCGTGATTACCGCCAAAATGCGAATTGGAATCGCTGCAAACTGAAGAATTGGAATCGCTGCAAAATGAAGAATTGGAATTGCTGCAAAATGCGAATTGGAATTGCTGCAAACTGAAGAATTTGAATGGAAGTACATGCACTAGTACCACCTGAAAAGACCAAATTGCTAAAATTTCCCGTCGTTAGGGGCCATCCGTAATTATCGATCTTTTTCACGAAACGAAAAAGTTTAGTTATGACCCACCCCCACCCACCCACCCCCCTGAAACGAAAAAAATAATTGACTTGAGACTTTGTGCAGAAAATGATCTTGATTGGCTGTTACAACACAGCGAGGCCACATTTTGTGTGATTGTGCAAGTAAGTAACAACGTTAGTTATGTTTTCTTGGAAGTCTGGTACTACTTCTTCAAGTTCTTGACCATGGAAACATTTATGTTCACCGACCACACACATACGCTGCTGGCACCTCTACGTCTAAACACGGGAATTGTACACTTGCAAATCGTCAGAGTTCCGACATTGACGTGATACTGCCAAAACAAGTCAACTTCGGAGCGGAAACAAACGCCATAGCTATCACAGACTTCAGTGGTCGTGCCTCGCTCGCAAATGAGAGCAGCATCGCCCCAGAATCGCTGTCGGAAAGCTCCGTAAGGTCGCACGCACGCCGCGCTGCGCTGCCGTCAATCAGGTACGTAGAAAGTCGATGGCTTAATTTTCCGTCTCTGGAAGACTGTCGACATGGGGATCACTTTCCATGGCTTCCCCACCATAAGCACGATCAGATTCTTCCAGGTACATTACGACGACATCGGCTTCAGCGGCTGGCGCTCCCTATATTTGCGTGAGAATTTACTTGGCATGCGCCCCGCTCCGTAATTTGAAATTCTCTTGCATCGGCGGCTGGAACGAAGTATTTATCTATCTGTCGTCGGTCCCAGAGTGAATGACCATGATGACTGCTAGGTCCTCGTCGGAGAAGTCATCCGAGGACGAAAGGAACTCACTGCAGAGTCTGAGAGTGGTATCACTATCAGTGCATCCATGCAGCACTTGCTTGGCCGCGCGACGTAGAGTCTACTGGGTCTGTCGATCTACTTCGATGTACACAATGTATGCATGTATCAATGCATGCAGTGAGCGTTGATTTTTCCGCTTTCGATGTTTTTTCAAAACGAAACCGGTCGCTACCCACCCACCCATAAACGAAACTTTTTCGTTTCGTGAAAAAGATCGATAATTACGGATGGCCCCTTAATAGGGGCGTTTTTTCAAAACGCTAAAGTTGCACGCCGCAAAAGTTTCCCGGTTTACATTACGTGGTGTGTTTGAGTGCGCGTGTGTACGAGTGTGAGTTTGTGTGGCCATCGTGCAATTATGTCGAACAGAGTGTCATATGTGGTGTCTGCTATTCTCACTGCAACCGTTAACTCTGTCGATAGAGTAACCTGAGTCGTCATCGCTATTTCTGCTCCTGACAATTACTATGGCTCCTTTCAGACTCAGAGTGGTGTGGCCCTTGCGGCAACTAAGCTATAGTAGCATGGTTTGTGTGTGTGTGTGTGTGTGTGTGTGTGTGTGTGTGTGTACATGTGGGTGGGTGTGTGTGTGTGTGTGTGTACATGTGTGTGTCTGTTACATACCAGTAATGGCTCCTTCTCTTTCTTTTTGTTGGTATATATCAGATTTGATACACCTTCCTTCAGGGTACCGTCCTCTTGAAGGATTGCCTTCCTCAACTGCTGATGTTCGTTCCTCTCTACGAGGCTGAGCAGGTACTCCGCCTTGGGAAGAGTCTCCGTTGCCATGGTTACGCCTGTAGTGTACCAAAAAAATGATAGAAATTCCAGTCAATGTTATTCTATACCATGTTTGTCTTAGAAGAAGTAGCGACGACCAGGCCATTATGGAATCTAATACACCACACCACCACATTGCGCTCTTGGCCGATCCAAACTCTGCACTCACATCACCATCACCACAGCGAGGACAATTCCGGTATATAGATTGATATTGACAATGAACCGTTATCACCTGACCTTGTTGTCACTTTTGCCACTCAGGGTATGCCACTTGTCTATGCAGAATGAGCGCAATTGCGCCAATTTAGCCCTATAAAGATCAGTCTATTCCTATTATTCTTTCATTCAACATCACATGCATCCACTGATGAGCTCAGGAGGAGCGAAACAGCTGTCTGGAGGGTCATTGTCAATATCAATCTATATAATGGAATTGTCCTCGCCGTGGTGATGGTGATGTGAGTGCAGAGTTTGGATCGGCCAAGAGCGCAATGCAGTGGTGTGGTGTATTGGATGTTTGTCATAACTATGCAAAACATCACAATACAATAGACTCTGACAGGCATACTGTGCCACTCCTGCCTGGATTGGGAGTTGAGTAGAAGTGTGCAGATAAGAATTGAATACTTGAGTAGCAAGTAGAATGGTGAGCACACTTGAGGATCTCTACGTACATGTACATGGCAAGACATGTATGAATTCACAAAAATGAGATAATGTTGGGATTACTATACAAATCTCCATGGCATGGCAATAACGTAAATGAATGATACAGGTACAGAATCCACCTCACTTTGTCAGTTCCAAAGTCGAGGATAACACTGCGGACCAATGAACACTATGCGGTGGAAAATATCTGTACACCTGGCTGACTTGGTCTTGCAGGAATACAAGTTTTCTTTCCACCGTCACTTAGTTAGTTCAGGAGTATGTGACAAATTGTATTGTGTCTCTCTTTAATGTGTGTAGTTCACACTTGAGGGAAACATCCTCCCACTAGGCCAGTCACTTCATGATTTTGTTTCTTGCTGTAAACAGTTATAATTTCTCGTCGGTCCAGCACAGCCAGATACATGTATGTGGGAAATGATTTCTCTCTCAAAATGATTTTCCTCTTGCAAATATGGCCTCTGGGGTGTTTTCTTTTGTTGTTCAGGAAGAAAAAGTGTGATGCGTTCACGCCCTGTCCAAATGTCGTACATCACCCGTGGAAGGAGCGTTGCATCTTTAAAAAAAGACGTCAACTTGAAATTCTGTCGGGACAGCATGGTATACAGGTGTTGCACACTGATGTTGGGTTTATACATGTAACTCTTAAAATACTACAATGTAGTTAGTGGTTCAATAAAACAAATACGTGTACCATTAATTTTCAAAGCAGCCTCCGCCCCACCCCGCAAACGCACATACACACAAAAACACGCACGTGCCCCCCCCCCCCCCCCACACACACATGTGCGCATACGCCCACATACACACACACACACACACACACACACACACACACACACACACACACACGCACACGCAAAAACTAGAGTGCCCCGTACATGCAGGTGTATATTTTTGTAATTTTCACTAGTGATATTCTTTCAAGGATGTGATAATATGGTACACAATGATTTGTCAAGATGATAAAGACAAAAATCAATAAATGACTGAGTTACATGGGTTAGGTACCTCTTTCCTTACGTCTACTTCGTATTCAACACATGTACAGGTGTGACCTTCCTATGATCATTCACATCCGCCTGGTCCACACAATCGGATAACAGCACTTCCATTCAGTACACATTGATTACATACATCAGTACAATGTATTGACTGCTGTACTCTACTCTCACTGGGTTAGACTACAAACTTACTTTTCCTTATAAAAGTCACTCTACAATTTTCATTCATTACTGACTGCGCTTCTTTACATGCAGTGTTGCTCAATAAAATCCCGGTCGAGTGAGTCAAGTTTGTGCCTTGCAGCATTTCACCTTGCATCATAATTCTTCTCTCAGCCTAGAGTGCACTGGTCTGGGGCTGTGCAACGCCTGGCACGTACTTGTTTGACACGACTGGATTTCATTGAGCAGCTCTGTACTTGTGCTCACACGTGATGTATTCCTGCCATGAGTGATAAACAGACATTGTACATACCCGCCATGCCCTTTCCCACCAATCACAATCATGGACAAATACACAGACCCCCCCCCCCCCCCCCCCAACACACACACACACGTAGACACACCACACACATACACATACACACACATAAAACTTACACCACGCAAGCACCATACACACAGGGTGGAAAAGTACTCACCACCAATGGCACCATATGTAGCGTGGTCTCTCACTCAACAAGCACCGCTACCATCTACAATACTTCTCAAACTGCAAGAAAACTATCTCAAGTCTAAAGAAAAACTCACTCGTAAAATACAATTTCACGCCAAGGAAATTTCTTTCACTGACACAGCAAGCTGATCTAGAAAAGACGACAGGCTGGACTCCAGTCAGTAGATCTTTATACTAGTCCACTATCTAGTCATCTTCACTGTCTGTCAACAGTATGGCTCAACCGCCAGCTGAATGATCTGTGCCGTTCTCAAACTCACTGACTCTTGTCATTATTGGTTTGTCCGCAAAGCGATGCATGAACTGCCTGTCCGTAGATCCAACGACGGCAGAGATCTACGCGGTGCGCGCGCCTCTCCGTGGTCTTCCTACCTCACCGAGTCAGTGATGTGCTCTTGGCGCCGCGGGCCGCACCCCCGTCATAAACCTGACCATGGTACATAGACGACGTCATTGGTAGACTGTCTTTTGACACTTTTGTCAACAACACTTCTATTTTTGGATCCGGAGGTCTACTACTACTAGTACTAGTACTTAGTTGTATTCAAGCCGTTTTCTTGGATATGTCTTTTCTACTTGAGAAGGACAGGCTGGAGAACCGTACGGTAGATGTCAAGGAGTCGCAAAATACCGGTATTTTTTCGACTCCCTGGTCGATGAGCAGAGCTGCTAAAATGATGACATCGGATCGCGTGAATAAAGTATGCCCTTTGCACTGGGCAGCCGGCCCCAGACTTGGGAACCCAGGGATTTTACTGCTCCAGGCCGCAAAGCTGACTCACTCGATAGGCCTTCATCTCTCCCTCCCGCTCTTGAGTCTTGTTTACATGATGCAGTGCGCCTTGGCTATGGCCCTGGTGGATGTGTGCACGCCGACTGCGAGATGTAGCACGTGATTTATCTACATTGGAGGTCAGTGAGCATTATGTCTAGGCATGGGGCATTCATCTTCCTCTGCCGAGCCGCGTCCTTGACTTATCCCCTGCAGGGTGAACATCGTGCACGAACAGTCTACCGTCTTTCTGACATTGCCACTCGAACTTGACAATAGAAGCTGCTTTTCGTATGTGCAGTTACATTGATGGTGTTTTTGTCTTATGTTTGTGAATCCTTCCCGGAAGCAAATGCTGGTTTTTATGCATTCGTGTAATTACTCAGCGTTATTTGCAATAATAATAATAATAATGGGCAGATAATGCTAGCATTATGGCTGGCATTATAGTCCCTTTTTTCCAGGTGGCATAATGCTGGCATTATAACACCATTTGGCATGCGAAATTGGCATTACAAGCATAATTGCCGGTCGACAAAGGTGTCATGCATGAAGCTGGCTAGGTCCAGTTCCGAAAATCGTGCATCTGAACCCGTCCGGCTTCATCCGGAGACTTGACGTTGCAAATCAACCTTCTCAGTGGGTTGTTTCAGACAACATGCTCACCGCTGTTTAAGTTTTTTTCTTCTACGCTTTGGCCTTGATCCAAGACGGCCTTCTTAAACCGACTTTTCCAACTTTCAAACTGGCATTATGGAGTAGTGTGAGCATTATAAGTGGCATTATGAGCATTGCCTTTAGCATTATCGCAGCAAATAACTAGCATTACCCGCCCATGCCTAATTATGTCAGTGTTCTCCTTGGCTGCTTGCGAAAAGTCATACTCATACGAGTCATAGCAAGAGTTCGTGCACAAAACTCAATGCCTGAGTAGATGGGAGTTTTCTTTGTAGAGACCTTTGTTGTCTTGTGAATACATGATATACTGGTAATTATACTGATGTACGTCTGTAGATCTACATGTACATGTATGAAGGGCGCAGTTCACGCAAGTGCGCAAACAGGTCGCTTGTACAGTACGATATACAGGCATGAAGTTGAGATTGCTCAATCTTAGCAGTTGGCACGGATTATTTAACTCTGTAACTTCTGAGATAGGTTTACTGTATGGGTGGACACCCCATCGGCTGCCATCAGCATGTGTGTACATTGTATCTTGTTGCTTGGGCAATCGCGTCGAGCGCACGCTCATTGATGTGCGTGTTTGAAATAATAGCGATTGATAACAGTATGTGCCGTCCGTAGTCCGTAAAGAGTTAAACTCACATGCTGTGTCGAACCTCACAGTCCACACCGCACAACTAGCATCTGTCTAACACCGAAATGAACAGGGAAAACGAATGAATTACGAAGAGCGTGATATCCGCCAGCCAATTTACTGTTGCTGTGCGTGGACACTATCTGCACCACCAGTATTCTGTGCAAGGTATAGCAATTGTTTGCAAGTAGCTTCTACTGTTCCTGTTTGCATTACTAGAGTATTTTTATTTTTCACCTTGTCATGCCCCTTCTTCCCTCTCTCATGACAGCCACCTTCATTTTCCTTTCCTCGGGAGACTCCCTTTGATAGGCATCCATTCACCTCTGCCGAATCCTTGAAAATCGAATATCAAGAATGTGGAAAATGTGTCATTCGCACAGGTACTTCAGACTGGGTCAGGTGATTTTCGGCGTTCCACAACAAGCCTGTACAAGAGAACTGCATTGTTCCTGATTGACAAGTGTTATGCACCGTACGTACATGTCATCGCAATTATCAGGTTCTGCATTTCTTTTGCCCTCCTACCGTCCTGTATAGTGTTGACCGTTAGACGGTCGACAGTGTTTGAACAATATCAACAAAGAATTATTATTGGAAGAAAAGAGGACCGAAGAGCTACTAGTTACGCTAGAATATCCACAAACACTACATGTAGCTCTTTGGTCCTGTTTTCTTCTTACAAATAAATCCTTGGCTACTCACCCGAGTTTAAAGAATAATTATATGTACAAGTCTTCTGCCACGTTGACGGAGGGTTCAGAGCCAGCTACATGTATCAGTGTTGAGTTTTCAGACGTCACTATTCAATAATACCTGTGAAAACGAAAACTGTACACAGTGTACAATGCCCCTTTAAAGAGGAGAGGAGGGGGTTTGGGGGGGGGGGGTTCCCCAGGCTGTATGTAGTTTGTACTCAAACTGTAGATGACGAAAACAGAACTTTGAAGCAGACCAACATTACCAGCAAGCAATTTATATGCATAGTATACTGTCAGAAAGGGTTTGCTCCCCACACCGGAGCTCGCGCTATTCCGCCGACTTGCCGACCCTTTCTTACAAATCATCGCCGAAGTCGCAACCACTACTTCGTAGTATACTGTCGCTACACTTTAACAACGAATCTGAAAACACCACTATATGATAACAGTGTCCGACCGCTAGCTGTTTCGACATGGTTAGGTGGCCTCAGCGGATCTCAGCGGATCAGCGGAGTTACTGACCGAACCAGTTCCGGATAGCATACATGTACTGTTGCTACTAGACTGAGGATAACAACACATCTGAAAACACCAGTACGTGATGTACGTAGTTATTGTTGTTTACCTTTACTCATCTTTCCATTTCTTCATACATGTACCTCTCTGTTGTTATCTCCTTCAACATGGTATGCCAAATACTCCTCTACTTCTATCTACACACTATTCTCACTATCAGAATAATGGACACATGGATTTTACTCAGCATGGATGACGTCAGTAGACATTGATTACATACACACACAGTGGGATGCAAAACAACAGACACCAAAGACTTTCTTCTGCTCCGCTGAGTTTTATCAAAACAATACCAGGCTCGTATTCTAGCATGTTATATGAGCTAATTCAGCTGTTAGCATACCTTAGCTAGGTGGTGATGTTAGTGCAAAGATTGCCAAGTTGTTGGCGCTGTGATTGACAGCACACAGTCACGTGATTGAATTTAACAGCTAGCAGTTCAGGTGCAGGCACTATAGTGAGTGACATGCGATATTGACATTTGTGAGGGACATGAAAGAATGATGAAAGAGAACAAAAAGGAAAACTAAATGTACGACCCATACCCATCAACGGAATGGGAAATAGGTGCAATTGTAAAGAAACATAGCAAGCGGTAAACGGTAAATGTAGTGCCACAAAATCAGACATCCAATGTACATACATGTGACACGAACCCCAGCACAGTCAACTAGTGGACAGAAAGGCTATGTGGTTGTAACTCAGTGTGTCATGATCAACACTGCTATCATCAGACAACGTCATAATGGTGCGTATGAGTATTATCATTGGCTTTTCCGCAAAGCACTGCATCAACTGCCTGTCCGTAATGCCAAGGACGGTCAGTGCGCGCGCCTCTCCATGGTCTTCCCACCCCAACGGCAACGATCACGAGTCAGTGATGTGTTCTTGGCGCCGCGGGCCGCACTCCCGTCATAAACCAGACTATGGTACACGGACGACGTCATTGGTTGGCAGTCTTTTGACAGTTTTGTCAACAGCACTTTTACATGTATTTGGAATCGTAAGTCTACTGAGTCGTAGCCAAGTCGTTCTTGGATATTTCTTATCTAGTTGCTCATGAAACTTGAGAGGCTATAGTGGAGAACGGTCCGGTAGATTTCAGGGAGTCGCAAAGTACCGGTATTTTGCGGCTCCCTGGTCGATGCGCAGAGCTGATAAAATTTGACATCGGATCGCGTGAGTCAAGCCTTTGCGCTATTGAACCCGCCCCAGACTTGCAGACCCAGGGATGTTCACTCCTCCAGGTTGCAAAGCTGGCTCAGTCGATCGGCCTTCATCTCTCTCTCCCTCTCTCGTTTACACGATGCAGTTCGCTTTGCCTCTGGTAGATGTGTGCATCCCGACTCGGACTGCGAGATGTAGCACGTGATTCATCTACACGTGACGTCAGTGTGCATATTGTCAGTGTTCTCCTTGGCTACTTGCGAAAGTCATAGCAAGTTTTAGTTCCCCAAAGTCAATGACTGAGTAGAGGTGTAGGCAGTTGAGGTGTAGGTACTATAGTCAGTCAGTGAGTGACATGCGATATTGACATTTGTGATGGATATATGAAAGAATAGTGAAACAGAACAAAAAAGGAAAACTAAATGTGCCACCCATACTCATCAGCAGTTGTTTCGTTTTGTTATTTGTTTTTCTGCAGGTATTGCATTATGAATTAATTGGGTAGATAGTTCCGTGTTTTTTAAATATTTTTCTTTTTCTTTTATTTTATTCGTGTTCGATATTGAATTTGTTACAAATTTGTTATTCCATTTCTCATTTTTCATTCGTGTTGGGTTTACCTATTCACTGTACTGATACATGGTGATGATTGTGCTTCGCTTTGCCCGTAAAAGAGGCCTTTCCATGGATCATCAGCAGAATGGGAAATAGGTGCAATTATGAAGACACATAGCAAGCGGTAATGTAGT